TTAGGTTTGCTCTCTGTTTGTACACTTGTTAGGTTTGCTCTCTGTTTCTAAACTTGTTAGGTTTGCTCTGTTTCTAAACTTGTTATGTTTGCTCTCTGTAAACTTGTTAGGTTTGCTCTGTTTGTACACTTGTTAGGTTTGCTCTGTTTGTACACTTGTTATGTTTGCTCTCTGCACTTGTGGCCTTTTGTTCTGGACAGTCCTCTGGGTTCACCTTCCCTGTCCCTTTGCACGTATCGCGTATCACATACATAGACTCCCCCCTTAATCGTGTTTGCTCCACACTTAAGAGATTTCATAGACCTTTACATTCCCAGCCAGGTGACTAAGACTAGGACTCTTTCTTGTTTCTCCTGTTGATTCTTGCTCATTTTGAAGTGTACTTGGGTGCTTTAGGGGGTTCAGATTTAAACCTGCTGTAACCTGAGTTCTTTTAGCATATATTTACTCAGGGGAAACTTTTGTCCAAAGCAGAACACAAGCGAAGATGAATATCAGCCAGTGTCCATGAAACAATCTGGTTTAAAGGTCTTGCCCCAGTGCCCGATGGTGACATCACTGCCAGCCACGGGGTTTAAACTGGCAACCTTGCTGTTTAGTTTCGTAAGCCAGCTGATGGATGTTGGGGGTTCAGGAACACAGTGGTGATTCACTAATTACACTGACCACACTGGGGATTATAACTGCTGAGATACTCTGCTGCTTCCTTTAATATCAGCAATATATTTCACATTGCTGATATGAGACTTTTACCTTCTAAACCATTGAATTGTTAAAAACGTATTTACTCGATATTCTGTTGGCCCCCAAAGGAACCATGTCCCCAGCTAAAAATCTGGAAGATGGAAGGAAACACAACTGCCAGGTGATTTCTTGTGTAACCATTTATTGTCATGTTATATGTTTCGTACAGCATGCAGCACATTAACTGTATCAGTGCCCATTTTACCGGAATCCTCAGTCTGAACACTGACACTGCTGCCTTTAAAATAGACATTAGCGCTGTAATATTTCAAGAAAGAAAATAAAAAAGATAAAGGATAGAAATATATATCTATATATATATATATACAATATCATATACAGTTATATACATTTAATAAATAGAATAGAGATGTAAGTGCCGTTTTCAAAGGCAGCCCATGCATTTTTCATGAGGCTGACATCTCAGTAATGACATCTAGCATATCTGTAAATGCTGTGCAGTGGCTAAGGTGGAAATCGCATGTGATTTGGTAGAAGGGACGACTTTAAGGTTCAGCTACTTAGGGGCAAGAAGCTGTCAGGATGCCAGCAGGATCTAACATCTTCCTGAATCAGTAACAGGCACCGCAGCCTTTAAAGTGACCTGTGCCAATCAAAGCAGTCAGTTACTGCTATCTAACACATATAGTGTGTCATTTATCTACTTAACCAGATAAAATCGGTAATTAGCCAAAAGGTTTCTATCTTTGGTAATTAAGGCACAAAAACAGTCAGAAATTCAGTCTGGAATAATTTTTGATGGAAATATATTATTTTACTGATTTTTTATCCATGAATTATCATACTTGTTACTCTAGTGGTTCCAATATTGAACATGCTTTTGCTTAAATTAATGTGATTTTCTGTAGCAATGCAATGATAATTTATATGAATCACCTTGCAATTTAAAATGTATATTACGACTTGCGTTTGATAACAGCAGTCTATGTACATGATTAAACAAATAAAATAGCACAACAGAATATAACAGAAGCAAAACACTAGTAATTTTTATAAACTGATCTGTATATAGCAACACAGAGCCTTTAAAAGCAAATCATATGAAATAATTGTAAAGAATATCATTAGTAAGCATGAATTTCAAATAATGAAATAAATTTGCCAATCTATAGAGTTCACAGATCAGCAGGGATTCAAAACATGTAGTTTCATGAATATATCTGTGATTTCGAAACCACCAAGAATTGCTTGGACCGTGAGGTACTACTGATGACAGACAATAGGCACAAACAATGAAAATGACAAAGATACACGTCAAGGATGTCATCATTGTCACCATCGGCCAACGTTCTCAATGACCTCTGTGCTCTCAGTTCATTGTGTCGCTATGGTACTGTTATTCCCACTGTCTACATCTTCGCTTTTCCTAAATGAGCTGCCTTGTTTCTTGCGTCTGAAAAGCCTGCAAGGAAGAAGACAGAAAAACAGATTTTTTATGTGCTGCTTTGAGCAGGACTTCCTCTGTAGGATCTATAAAGCACATCTCATTTTATCTTCCATTAGTTAATTCATATCAAAGTGTGACGAGTCAAGTTTTAGCTTGTCTCACCTTTCTGCTTTGCGGCTACTCTCATTCTCATTCGATTTCACAAAAACAGCGTAGTCTCCGCCTCTCGAAAGGTATGCAGCTTCTCCATCTTTGGCTCTAAAAACCAGCCTGAAATCAGAGCACACCGCTTGCTTGAGTTTTCCTACTCGAAGAGACATTTATGTTGTCTAAACCGCATGAGCAAACGATAGTCGCAACGACACCTACTTGGCCTGTGTTTCTCCTGCTTTGACTCTGATTTTACGGACCCAGAACATTTTGCTGCCCCAGAAGTCATACAGCGTGAAGAGGGAGTCCTTCTCCCACTTGATGTTCACCATGATGAGATCGCCGATGTCCACCTCAGTGATCAGCAAGAATGAGATGGTGGCGTTGCTGTTCAGCGCAGGCCTAAGAGGTCAGACATCAACACAAACTCAACACATCTCCACAATTCATCATCCATAATTATTTAATGTAAGACACACTGATGTGTGACACTGCCACTAACAGATTAACCAGTACAAGTATAAACCAGTACAAGAACAACAAGAGAATGTTGTGAATCCTTCGAACTGCTTCAAAGGTTCTGATTTAGCAACATACACGAGTATGGAGATGTCTTCTGTCTCGCCGTGAACTCCATGGAGTGACACCTTCCAGGGCTGCTCACTGTACTGCAGCTTATCCTTGCTGAATAAATGCATCTTCACCTGGTAGTGGAACACTGTGGGAAAAGAGTGGTCTTCATAAACTACACTCAGGTCACCAGTATGTGCAGATCACGAGAAATTTCCGCCCTGGACCTTCTGGAAAGATGTGGAAAGCAGATGCTGACAGCAGACCATGGCCCTACACTGGCCAAGCGGTATGAAGGATGGAAACATTGTTGCTGATGTACCATCATCTCATGTGGGCGAAGTTTTTACCACACAGAGTTGCAAAGGCTCAAAGTAACCAGTAAAAGCATCAAGTACATTATAAGACCATATTATTATTATTATTATTCTAACAAAGCTGACATTGTAATTTCATCTTCATGATGCTACAATTAATGCTGATACATGATGCTATTCATTATTTTATTAAATGCAGGAACTGATGTTTCATTCCCTTGGAGAACCAGAGAACCCATTAAAGTACCATGTCTGAATTTTCCTGTGAAATTGAAATTTGCGGTATGAAACCTGCAGGCAGGAGACAAGTCCATCTTCTTTTCACCCAGAATTATTCCAAAAATATGCATAAATTAGAAACAGAAGACTATGGTTCAATGGTTTGAGGATGGATGGATGGATGGTTATAGATCACCAGGTATCTCATTGGCCATTACAGCTCTGTTTGTGCCCTAGGAGCTACAACACGGCAGCCAGTGAGCAGCCTACCTTTGAAGGGCATCATCTGGCGCGTCTTCAGGTACATCTTGGCATTCCTGCGGGAGCGCACCTTGTTCACCTCGTAGCCCAGCTTGTTGCAGCGGTTCTTGCGGCAGCTGAGACACAGACCCTTGTCGAAGGCCTCCTTGGAGGGGCAGCGGTAGGCTGTGCTCTGCTTCTGCTCGTTCACCAGCGAGTCGATGAACAGGTGGATGGAGCGCTCGTGCGAGCACTTCACAATCTGGTCCATGTCTGCACGGAACAACCAGGCAGAAGATGCAGTTATGGTGCAAGCCTGCAGATTAGGCGTCAATCAAGCAAAATGCTATAAACACAGATCAGGCAATATGTTAAAAATACATATGGCATGTTGGGCAAAGTCCAAGACTATTGTTTGGAATTGGCAGCAGAGAACCTTTATATTTTTGTAACCTGAGCCACGTGTGAGCTAGTAGCCTGTAATGTTATGTTTACATTTCACTTACATTGTTATGGAGAACCCATTGTCACCAGTGTTACTCATATCTTTAGGGCAATCTACCAAATGTTAAATATTTACTGATCAAACGAACAGAATGAAATATAATTTTACTGGACGGAGCCACAGCTTTCACACGCTGACACGATGCAGCAGTTTTTAGCAGAAGAGGCAGACATACTCCAGAAGCCAGTGGTGGCCACCATGCGCATGGTGTTCTGCAGGTCGCAGCCGGGCTGAAAGCCCCCTCCGTTGGGGTAGATATCTACATGACCCACGGGTCGCTGGATGCCGATGCTGCGGTCGGGGGAGCCTCTGGTGTTAGTGTGCAGGACGTCCACGAAGTTGGCATCATCGGGGGACAAGGTGCTCTGGGAATCTGCGTACTCGAAGCTCGGTCCCGCAGGGTCGAGGCCTGGCAGAGGAGAGGAACACAGAACCGTGAGAAAAACTGACTAACACGGCCCACAGGATAATACACACTTCCTCCTCCTCTTATTAAAGTAGCAGCAATGTTTCTACTGTCGGATGAACTTCTAACTCATCCATGAGAATGAATATTGCCATTTTTTTGCATCTTTTTTCAAATCTGCAGCTATTATTACTAGTCATATTATAAACAAACTTCAGTAGCTGCCTCAAAGCAGACGCTGAAAGGAACAGCGCCTTCTCCTGGACGTAAGCGGGATGACAGCGTCCAGCTTCAGGACTGCTGCTGTCTGGAGGGCGGCTCACCTGTGATTCTGTGGATTTTGCTGCTGGTTAGGGAGCCTGCAATGCCAGCCACATGGGCACCCAGGCTGTAACCCAGCAGGTGAATCCTGTCCCAGGGGTATTCGAGCTCGGCCTGACGGGTACAAATCAGCCGCATGAGCAGCCGCCCAGCTAAACCTGCGTGGCGGCTTTTTGGAAGCCTTCCGTAATCAGTTATCTTTCATTCAAGTATATATATTCAGTTTAAGTGCTTTGTTGGTAGCGTAACAGTACATTTCTTCTGCACTTATATCACATAGCATTCCCTCTAGCATGACGTCTTGCTACATAGCCTTTGACTTTTTCAATATTTTTTTTTTTACAGAAATCCCAACATGCTGTATATGTGCAGATGTCTCACAGTTGCTAGGATTTATGATATGAAAACACTAAACTGAAAAGAATATTCTCTGAATAGTGAAGCTGATCCATGACTGTTTTCTGTAGTTTTTGTACGCCACACAGCAGGGATCTTCGACCCCGCAGCGAGGGAAACGTGACATAAGATACATTACCGGTACATACACCCAGGTCTAGTCAACTCATCGTGTAAACACATTAACTAACTCAAACATGAGACTTATAACTATTGCTTGTAATATTTTTATTAATATTCGGCATAGTACGTGCACAACGCCGTTGGGAAGGTCAATGAAAATTATGCTAAAATGGACAATAAAATACTTTTGCAGGAAAAAAAAATCATTCAGTATGATTTTTTCTAGAAATACATGTTTGTTTGTGTGTTATTTCGCTGTAGGACTTGGCTTTAGCATACTTCGGTTAATAAGCCACTGGATAGATGAAAATGTGACGGCGATTCAGACAGACTAACCATTTAACATAATAACCGCAATAACAAAAGAAGACGCCTGTATTTATACACGTACCTGCAGCCACCTGACAAATCGGGCCACATCCTGACCCACCAGCTTGGTGTAGGCCGCCGACGTAGGATAATGCTGCTGGGCCCGGATCAGCCAGTCCACCACGACGACGTTGCCGCTGGGCTCCCGCTCGTACAGCGCCGTCACCAGCTTGGGGACCCAGCTCTCAAACATGCCTGTCACCTGAGCACACGGGGCACGGTCTGCCGTCAGCACGGCATCTCAAACGGCCTCTCATCGCAACCTTATTCGGAGCCTGAATCCATCTTAGTCAGCATATATTTCTGATGGAATTACAAATCAGAGTCGCTTGTCACGTGTTTTCAATTTACCAACTGGAAGGTCACTATGGGCCTCTATAGTATTAAATATACCACATAACATCACACAGGATCTGAATTTATTATAATATTTTACTTAGTAAGTAGCACTATTTGAATGATAAATATCCTGAGAGGAAGTCACTGAAATGGTATTTACCGTCCATCCGTGAATGACAATAAATGTTTGCGTCTTGTTATTGAATCCACATGCTGAGATGGTTTCAGGTTCTCCAGGCACGATGTAGCAGAGATCGTCCTCCGGCACGTTCGCACTCCGAAGGGAGAACTTAGACTCAATATTTGAGAAATCCACGATCCAGTCTGTTGAATTGCCTGTAAATGTACACAGATTAGTGACATATTACATATAAATCATATCATGGTTAATGCATACTGTACGAAACATTTAATATGCTCTAACTGCATGAAATAACTCTAAAACGCCGCATCCGAAAACACACATTTCAAATACAGCGCAGCAGAGGTGCTAGACGATGTTCTGGATGACTGGGGGGAAATCGCTCGCCGAAAATGTACCGTTTTAAATTAAGCCTTATTATTAAAATGGTAGCACACCGCCCTCTATTGACTTCATCGAATTAAACAGCGCGCAACTAACCTTTTGAACAAAGAAAACGACTGTATTTCTTATGTTTCATCTTAAGTTATACAACTTACGTAGTTTAATGTCGTCTTCATGTTAAAGGAGCGCAACGACACTGGCGAAGCCCACCTCGTATGTGTTATAAGGTTCGTGAAACATGGGACATAGGGGCAACCGACAACATCCCGGCCGAAATACAGATGATTATAATATCCTTACTTGGACCTACTAATTTACAACTCATGTGTACCTACTAATTTACTATATTTGGAGATTTTTTTTTTTTAAACTTGAATAAACTTAACATCTGTATAAACAGGAATTAAAAGTAACACGACTTATTGGAAGTAAAATATTTTATCCTTCAGTAGTTCACGTGGCGCTGAGCCGAATTAAAGCTAGAAGGAACCGACTGATTTGTGCGTGAAAACGCCGCTCGAGGTTACTCTCGGTCATTATGACAAACGCGCGACGCATTCCGTTAAGCTGCACTGTCTATCCGCATTATAAGTATACAGCAAATACAAAATAACATTTACACTTACTAAACAGTGGTGACTCAGTGCTGTTAAATAAAGATGCACAAGTTTTTTCAAAACATATCCAAATAATCAAAAGCCAGATGTTTTGTTTCCCCATATTACTGTCCAGATAAAAATGAAATCCAGCCCAGTAAAAAAATCCTCAGCTCTTGCAGTAACAGTCCAAATGATCACCGTTTGGCTTGCGAATCGTTCAGTGCCACTACATGTGATGCTCTGGTCTCATGTAAAAACTGCCACACGTGCTGTCCCAAACTGGGTTTTATTCCTAACTTTAGACATTATGCAAATGACCAATATGCTATTGGCCTGAGCGACGTGAACTGGGCGGGGACAATCTGATCAATGTACTGCAGCTGGACTCCTCATTTGTGCACCATTATGTAAAGTTTAACCAATAAAATAAATATTTCACAACGTTCTGAAATTTGCAAGTAATTGTCACGTCTTTCACGAAACAGTTATGTTCATGGCAATAAATACACGTTTTAAACAAATATAATAACGCTAAATATTCTTTGTAGATTAGGAACCATTTAATTTAACGACAATTTATGGAAGTAAAACTTGAATTGAAATTATATGAGTTATTATATGATTATAAATTATATGAGTTGTTTTAGTATACTTTATTTTTTTGCAATCTTATCTGCGCTCAGTCATCGAAATCTCACATAACTGTTCCCATAATTCAAATCAAAATAGTACTTTCTTCTCTTTTATCATTTGAAAATATAGTGATTTTAAAAAGTTTGCAGAATGAATTAAAAGTCGTTAAATTATCATAATTATCATTTACGTGCGTAAATACTATGTGGACATAATCCGTGTGTAATATAATAGGATTTAATGAACAGTACAGTAAAGCAACACCATATAGTCATATGAAAGAAACTGACAATAAATTTACCCCCCCCCCCATACACACACATACATTCTGCGGTTTAAACAACATTAATTCACACGATAATCGTTTATTATTATTATTATTACATACTATAATTCCTCGATCGTTTCCTCTTTTTTGTTAAAATTAGTTGAAGAGTGCCATCCACCGTTCAATGAACTCAGATACTCAAATGCACATGAAACAAAACAAAACCATTACAATTTATTTTATCTTAAAAATGCAACAATTGTTTGGTATGTAACGTGTACAAACGATGCTAATATCCCCTGTCTGTGTGTTACACTCACAGTGGCATGGAAGCCGGTAAATTCTTTTAGGCCTACTTATTATCTTACATTATCAGCGGATTTTTTAAGGATAAAAATGGGATAACATTTTCATTCTTATTGGGCATATTATATTCATATGCCGACCGAAATGTGAGGCGTTCCGCTGGGAAGGATCAAGCATCTGGATGCAATTCGCCCGTTTAGATCGCGGCACTTGTTCCGATTATGCAGCGCATTCGGGGGTGGTTGACTTTGAATTAAGAAAAAAAAACTTAGGTTTATATACTATGTACTAGTTATAGGTACTTCATACGGACTGAAACTCGCATTTCAACAGTGCCATGGCGCTGCGCAGAGAGCTAAATCGATACCAGATATTCGTTATGAGTCGAGAAGGGTTCCGTCTATCTGATAATCACATACACAGAGAGACACCAATCCCTTTTAAAGGTCATGCCGTGGATGCGTACTTCCTATGGATACTCTAATTACTGTAATTACATATTCATTTGAAATCAGCGATACCCGCGGCATCCTTTGCATTATTCTTTGATAGCATTATTCTTTAAAAGCAAAGACTGTCTTATTCTTAAAAAGATAAGTTTTTAATAGAACTACTGGAATCATCCATCCATCTTCTAACTGCTTATCCTACTGAGGTTTAAGGAAGTACCAGAATTAGGATATTTAGTTTAAAGTTAAATTATAATGCAACTTAAGGTTCAAAACCATAGCTAATTTTATGGATGCACTGGTCATATCCTTCATAAAGAACTTATAAGAAATGTTCCTCTGACCTTGTGGTCTCATTCTCTATTTAACAAAGTGACACACAGCAAAACCTGATGCTGTTACTTTGTACAACTAGCAATGTAATTAGCGGAAATGTGCATTTCCTCAAAGCGGCTGTATTCCCTGGGAATGACGGGCACAAACACAGGAAAGACAAGACAGCCGCAATTTAGAGGGAAGACTGGAAATAGCAATAATGTCATAACAGAGGCATCATATTGGCATTCAGGACATCTGTAGGGCAACCTTCATGCAGGCCAACCTTCTCTCACTTTTCTTTCTGAATCATATAAGCATTGAAAACTAGGTTGCATTTACAAAACTGGCCTTCATACCACTGTTGCAAAAGATATTTGAACTACATCTCCATTGATTATGTGTTTGCTCATATAGCGAATACAGTCCCGTGTGCACTATGCTGTGTATTTATGATATATGTTTATAGGAGCACAGCAAACACGGTGCACAGTGGTGGCCGTGTGACACTGGCATTGACATTCCTGCACCATGTTATCTGCATTGATACATTGTGGCATTTAATCCCAGCAGGACTCCAGCAGCAAATCTTATTGAATCACATTTTTGAAAGTGCTTATAACTTTCCATGATGAGCTATAGCATATTTTATTGTGAAATGAGCAATATGCAATTTATCAGTCATATTTAATTATACAAAATGTGTGGAGTATTTTTAAAAGGCAGCCCTAACATTGAATATATGCAGAATAGAGTTCTCTCCTCTTTGCAGACCTAAAAGACCTAAAACCAGTTTTATGGAGGATAAAAAATATTCATTTTTCATTGCTATCAGTTCTACAGCTACGTAAGACCTAAACACAGAGCTCAGTCTCTCTTTGTCTTTGTTGGGTGGTGCATTTATGCTGTTGGAACCTTGTTTATCAGCTAGGAGTGGGGCTGTGTGTTTCACGGAAATGCTTGGCCAGACACTAATGAAACGCTAACACCTAACGGCAAACCCCACCCAACCCTCTGTGCCATGAAGGGGGCATCAGAGCGGCGACTGCGCTGTAAGATCATGCAGCGGATCGTGGCTCCTCGTGCGGCGCCTCCGCTCGGCTGTGCCGCAGTCAGTAGCTGTGTAATGGACACTGTGCTGGAGCCTGTGCGCTTACTGTGCCTTACGTCAGTGAACAGCTCAGGTTCATTGTTCCGCCCCTGGAGCCCAAATCATGTCGAATTTTTCCATCTGTGTGTCTGTCAAGGTGACGATGCTGCTCGAGGGGCCGATGCCGGAAGCGTGTTAGGAGACAAACTCATTGTTTCTGTTACATATCTTCTATTCCTGAATCAGGAAGCATATTTGCACCCTCAGAGATGGAAGTCCTTGTCATTATAAGTTTGAAGACGTAAACGCTTCCATTCTCAGCTGATACTAAAACACCAGATATTACAGTCTGCAGGGGGCTTTTATATATATACACACACACTATATGGAGAAAAGTAAATCACTGAATTCAGGTGTTTCATTCAGACCCATTGCCACAGGTGCATAAAATCAAGCATCTAGCCATGCAGTCAGTCTTACAAACATCTGTGAAAGGATGGGTCCTTCTCAAGAGCTCAGTGAATTCGAGTGTAGTACTGTCTCTGGATGCCACCGTTGCAATAAGTCAGTTTGTGAAATTTCTTCCTTGCGAGATATTCCACAGTCAGCTGTAAGTGGTATTTTGGCAAAGTGGAAGCCTTTAGGGACGACAGAAGCCATGAAGCTGCAGACCACATAAAGTAACAGAGCGGGTCACCGAGTGCTGAGGTGCATAGTGTGTAAAAGTCACCCGCAGTCTGTTGACTCAGTAACTGTTCCAGTTCCTCTGGCATAAACCCCAGCACAAATGGCTGCCACTCTTCCCAGAAGAGTAGCTGTTATAGCTACAAAAGGGGGAGATTCTCCATATTAATGCCTGTGGATTTATAATGGGATGTCATCAAAGTTCCTGTAGGTGTAATGGCCAGGTGTCCTGCTATAATAATAATATAACAATTTTTTCATCCCACTCCTTAGAGAAGAGCACAAAGATAAAATGTTGGGTAAAGCTTTACATTAACTGTACCTTAATAATGCCTTCATAATGCATTCATAGAACATTCATAAGCAACATGTAAGTTTACCTTAAGATCCTAACATACTTTAACAGGTTTAATCTACACTAATAACAAACATTCTATGGTATGAATGCTTCATAAAGGCATTATAAAGGTGCAGTTCATGAAAATTACTACCAAATAGTATCTTTCTTCTTGAGTATGAGAGTGTAAAAAGAAAATTTTCCCGACAGACTGGCAGAAACACCATACATATGGGGATGAAATGTGGTTTAGAGTGATTCCTGACCCTATAAATATTCAGTTTTGTTTGTTTCTGCTCTGTCTCAATGTCTGTGTGATTATTAACAAGCTGCCTTTAATTAGCCACAGCTTGAATTAACTGAACACACATAAAATAAATCAGTGTGCAGTAAAGCATGTGCACACCATCCCACACACCATTCCACACACCGTCCCACACACCCTTCCAAACACCGTCCCACACACCATCCCACACACCGTCCCACACACCCTTCCACACACCGTTCCACACACCGTCCCACACACCCTTCCACACACCGTTCCACACACCGTCCCACACACCCTTCCACACACCCTTCCACACACCGTCCCACACACCGTTCCCCTGGAAACCCAGCTGACGGATGTATTCTTTCTTTATCTTACTGAAGAAGATCTTCTGAGGAATATGTTTTTTATACTTATTTATGCCCGAAAGTGGCAGAGAGAGAAACTCAGCTAAAGCTTGAACAAGGAATTCTGCAGTCTTGGAGAATTACTTTGCTGTTTGCATGCTCTCTGTGTTCCTGCACAGGACTGTAGAGCAGATCCCTCCTTCTGAGAGTGTCTGCTTGGTTCCTGCTGCTCACAGGAGAAGCCGGAGAAATGAAGACCGGCTGTGGTACATTCTTGGCCTGGCGGACTTCTTTCTGTGCTCTTTGCTATATCAAATGCTGTGGAGGCTCACAGAATTGCCCAGATTTTTCTTCTCAGCTCTGAAATCCTATAAACAAACAGGAGAAGAGCAGGCAGAGGACAATCCGAATGTGGTGTTATAATGGCGTGACCTTCTGCGCTTTCCTGAGAGCAGCTTGGAGAGGCACCATGGCCCATCGCAGGGCACTGGCCCCATCTGGTGGACGCTGTGTGGACACACAGCCTAAGCAAAGCTAGAATGAGATCTCCCAGTCCCAGTTCCAGTCCCAGGTGTTGGTT